AGAGTCGTAAAAGGGTATACAATTATAAAGCTTATTATAAACCTCACATATTTAATTTTGCAAAAGAAATTTTAAGTCGAATGTAGTTTCGTGTGTTATGTGGAGGCACATTTAATTTTATTTCGCGAACTAAGAAACTAGTAATAAAAATTGCTCGGAGCGTAAAACGTCTTCTCTCAAGAGTTGGGAGATCTATAAGTTTCAATCTATTTTCATAAGGCGGGAGAGCTAAATCTGCATTCCACGATAAACCTCTAAAAGGAAAAAGAAATTGTATTTAAACGGATTCGATTTTGTCACAATAACACTTGTAGAAAGGTCTGCCAAGTACGCAACAATAATCCAAGGTAGGTCGAATAAGACTGACAAAGAGACGTTTGGTCACATAGGTTTCATCGAACTCTTTAGAACAACATTTAATAAAGACCAACAATGACTTTGCTTCATTGACAAAAGCCTCAATATGTAAGTGTAAACGCAATCTATTGCCTAGAATGACACCAAGATCAACAAAAGAGTCTACATTCTCTAATGTGCGCGATCCTATTGAGTAATTACAAGACACATGTCGTGTTCTAAAGAAACATAGTTTCCGGTAATGAATTTGAAATTCCCAACTTCCAGGGAATGAAAAAGTCTGGAATTTTAAGCCCTACCTACATTTATTTATATAAATCTTTTTTTATGCAAATTACGAACTCATATAATGATATAAGTTAAGTTCTAAACTATGCAATTGGTTGGACTAATGGTTTGCTGGTCACAGAATGACCATATTGCAATCGAGCTGCAAATAATAAAGGTTGGAATTTAAAATAGGAAACAAATCAAGAATATCTCTATGGTGTTCGGCATCAAGCGATCTCAAGTATAAATGTCGTTTTTCTCGAAAGGACAGAAAGGGGTGGTCAGTGAATATACATATATTATATTTCAAACATATTGTTGTGACTCACTATATATATATATGATCTTATTTTAGATAGTTGAAAGGTCCTTCAGATTCTTTAAATATATCAGTACAAGTACTCATAAGTCTATTACCACTATACCGAAATGCAATATTGGAACGATTGGAAAATGCGGATAAATTTTTAACATACCGACATTTTGGAGGGACCTTTATTTGGGTCTATGTCAAGATATGGACTTGTAATGATCATTTTATACGCAGATGTATACCATCCTTCAAAACCCCGAAGTGCCAAATTAGAACCTTTTTGGTTGGAAAATGTGCATAATGGCTTAAAATACCGAAAATTGCGCGGGACCTTTATTTGGGTGCTATACGAAAACGTGGACCGATACTAAATTACCCCTAGGATGTTTGGTATTGCAAATGGTATATCAATATCAGTGGAAAATTTCAAAGCTATGTCTTTAATATTGCGATCTCTATCGTGATTTTAACACTTCACTATTATGAAGTAGGGTATAAATTGGAACTAAAAAAAAATTAAAATTTACAAAATATTTTTTTTTTTTTTGTGAAGTATAATTATCATTCTGTAGCTTCGACTCGAGTAGCTTTGACGACCTTTTGTTTTCTTGTTTTAAACTTTTGAATGATTTTATTGCTGCTTGGACTTTCTCTTCGGCCGCCACCTATTCACCTATAATTTCGTGAACCAAGTCGCCGTATTTGTATTGAGTATCATTATTTCATGGCAATGTTTGGTGTCTTAAGTGGTTTTCAGGCTAATATTGCGATCTCTATCGTGATTTTAACACTTCACTATTATGAAGTAGGGTATAAATTGGAACTAAAAAAAATTAAAATTTACAAAATATATTTTTTTTTTTTTTTTGTGAAGTATAATTATCATTCTGTAGCTTCGACTCGAGTAGCTTTGACGACCTTTTGTATTCTTTTTTTAAACTTTTGAATGATTTTATTGCTGCTTGGACTTTCTCTTCGGCCGCCACCTATTCACCTATAATTTCGTGAACCAAGTCGCCGTATTTGTATTGAGTATCATTATTTCATGGCAATGTTTGGTGTCTTAAGTGGTTTTCAGGATACCTACAAGCACTCCATATTTCCACGAAACACCGTCATATCACGGTCAACTAACTTCGTTAATGTTTGCCTTCTTTGCTTCTCCTCCAATGCCGATTGAAGATTGCCAATTTGGTATTGTGCTGTTCTAAACCCTTTTGTCATTTTGTATTTCTTTCAACGTAGTTGAACGTAGTTCGCTCTCAGAATTACGTACATGAATTAACCCGTTCATACAACCCTATTCATAATTCATGTCATCAGAGTTTGCTTTTTCCACATTTTTGTTTCTTTTTTTACACTAAAATATTAACATATTTGTATGGATCACATATATATCTAAATAGGAAAAATAACAAGTCGATTATGGAAAGCAACCAAACTCCAGTTGCGAGTTCAACTGGCAACGCAATTGAAATAAAACTTAACATTATGAATATCAACTTTTCTCAGTTGCTGTCGATAATACTGTTTTGACATTTCTACAACTAGAAATATTGTAAACAAACAAAAAAAAAAATAAAAAAATTAATAGAATATTTCAGAAAAACTAAATATTTGTGATGATAAGCTCAGTGGAACTATTTTTTGATGATGAAAATTATGTTCAAGGTGTGTCATTTATTAGAAGGCATATAAGAGATAAATCTATTAGAACTACCATCAGTTCTATGAGTAGATGCTGACGTTTAGAGAAATGTTCAATCAACTGCTCATATTAGCTTGAAGGCGTATTTTCGACTACCAAATGATGCCGTTGTGTACATAGATGAAGCCATAAACCTTGATTTCCAAAAAGCCTGGCAGCTCTGATGTTTTTTGTGGAGGGAAGTTTTCAAAAGTCCCATAGCAATGACTTCAACCTTGGCATGGCTCAACCGACAATGTCGGTGGTTTTCGCCGAAGTTATCCGGCTAATAGAGGAAAAACTGATTGTATCCAAATTAACGGAGGAGGAAAAAGGGAAGAATACAATTTTTTTTATGAAAAGTAAGTTCCAGGTTGTTGTCGGATGTATTGATGATACACACGTACATATCATGGACCCAAAAGAAGATGTTTCCACTTTCTGCCATTCATTTGGAATGCATGTTGGTGGGCAATAGCAGTTAAGGTCTTCTGAAATGGCCTTCCACACATCATGGATAGTGGCTTTGGTTTGGCCAAAAGTCCGCATACCGCTTGCTACATTTGGGTGAGCTTTCATCCGGGCAATAAGGACCTCAAATTGTTCTTTTGAAGTAATATTAGCCATTATAATTACAAAGTTCAGTTATTATAAAAAGCAACCAGTTCAGTTATTATAAAAGCCGAAATATTCTATTTGAAGCAACTGAAGTTGACAACAGTTGCCATCCATAATGCAAATTTGGCAACTGGCAACGCAACTAAATTATGGTTGCCATCCGTAATCGACCCATAATTCTCGTTCACCTGACTATAGTATGAACCCATATCTATTTACATTTAATTCATGTTTTCCATTTTTTCTCAAAATATTGTTGTTTTAAATACCTTTTTATATTTTTCAATTCAAATGTCACATATGGAGGAGAATTTTTGTTTGGGTTTCCCCACATTAGTTCCTTGTATTGTACTTTAATTATGTATATAGATAACAAAATTTACATCCTTCTGCAAATATCAAAACTAGACAATTTTTTAATTTTCATTCATCATTTTCAAATTTACTAAAAAAGTTTGTTACTCTCAATTGTTAAGGATGGGACAAATTTCTTTGTTATTCAGAGAGTGATTCGAATTGAACACTGTTCAAAAGTCGGTGTTAGCTCAGAAAATTTTGTATGGGGAACTAAGTAATTACTTCATAATTAAGGGTCGAACATTCGTTAAGAGGGAACAACGCTAGTGTTTACATTGCATTACTTGCCGCTTTTGCGTTACGAAAACGAACTTATTTTTCATAATGGGTACGGACTGCAAAACTGATTTTGCTTATTGGGACGCCATGTAGAAACTTGAATTGTTTTTGTTTATTATCTTTGATGTGTGTTAGTTTTCAGCAAATCAGTATTTTAAATAGTAAACATATTAATACAATTTCTAACTTAAAAATGGACAAGAAAGAATGCTACAATTTATTTATTTCATAAACGAGAACCTAGCCCAAAGGGCCATGAGCGATTCCAAAAACTACGTTACATGGACTACTCCAATAAGGCAGTAAATTAAAAGTGTTTGTCGAATTATTGTTTGTGTAAAAACAACAAAAAAGTTAAAGAAGTGAAAGCATTGAAGAGCTTAAGGCTATTTGCACCAGCAACGGGGCAAAAACTAGATCCAATTATTCCTTCATACTCCACAATATACAGCAGAGTCTTTTCTAGAATTGGAGGAACAAGTCAAGAAAAAAGACGGTGAAAATCCTTTGGTATGAAAAAATCGGAATCTAAATTTTAAAACTTAAAATAACAAATTATTTTAACTTTTATAATTTGGAAAGGGTTATTAAATGGACTAACGGATACATCCTTAAGGTAAGGTCACACTAGGCAAATATTTGACTCAAATGTCTTTTATTTTGTTTGCCCAAAAAACGTCAAATTTGTGCACTCCTGATTTAGTGTTCACATTGCACTCAAATATTTGACACAATTTGTTTGCTCAAACAGCAGGCAAATAGCGTCAAATAACGAAATTAGAAAACATGTTTGACGTGTGGTCACATTTGAGCAAATATTTGCACAACAAAACATTTTGATCAAACTGTCAAAAAACAAAAAAATATTTGCTCGATATTTTCCAAGAAATTATGGAAGAGGAGCAGCGTTAATTTTTATATTGGACGAAGAAAATAAAGTTAAAAAATAAGAAAAGACCGTGGGTTCGAGAATATTCTGTGGATTCGGTTCGAAATTTCCCTTCAACTCGTCGCTCGGAAAGTGTTTATAGTAGTGGTATTGATTAATTTCGTTAAAAAAAATAAACAAAATAAAAATTATTTATTATTTATTAGTCATATACATTCTAAAAATGGTAATTATAATGGTTTGTAATGACGCCGGAAAAGCAGTTTATGTAAAGCATCTATATCAATCTCTAGGGGTGTCTTATTTGATGAGTGCGAACTTGAAGTTCTTATTGCAGGTGCTGTGGGTTTATTTGAGGCTCTGGGATTAACCAAAAGACACTTCATTGGTTGACCATCTAATTGACGATTGTGATAAGTATCTACAGCCTTCTCGGCATGAGCCAATGACTTAAAAATAATTTCAGCTACACCAGGCCGAATAATTCGCGAATCATACAATTCACCAATATCTTCGAATAGTTCCTTAATATCCGATTGTGTTACACTGGGATGTAAATGACTAACAAATATACAATAGCCTGATGACGACGACGATGATGATGACAATGATTTGGACAGACCATTCGGTGGTGATGGTGGTGTCAGGGGATTTGAAAAAACACCCATGGAAGCATGTGGATCCGGGGCTCGTTTGTAGTATACATCGGTTCTGTCAAAGGCAGAAAGTTACCTATCAGTTTTATTTTTGTTTTGAGTGCTAGGATAGAAAACTTAAGACAAACACTATATCCATTGCTCGGTTATGCCATGCTAAGGTGTATGTTACATGGATGCCCTCCATACCTGTTTACTAATGTGTCCAATGACAAACCAACAGTTTCTTAGTAAACCCGTGCTCGAGTATCCTATTAACCTATCCTAAACCCTCACTAATCGAACTCAACAAATTTATTTAATCCATGTTTGCTATGAAATACATTTTATTATCGAAACCATAATCTCTAAAATATTTTTAAACTAAATTCTAAATCAATTTGAAATGGATGACAAATATAACATGTCGTATCTCTAATTCTATAAAGTTAATTTTTTTGTTATTTCTAAAAATACTATATAAATTGAATTCTCAATAAAACCTACTTATATCTAATTTATTCACTATAAAGACGGCGAAGGAAAGATCTCGATTTGAAGCAGAACAAATGTTGTATAAATATTACAGACTTTCATTAACCAAAATTTATGTATATATATGTACGAATGTGCAGTTGTGATCATGTTAAATAAATCAGCTGTGAGTGCAATGACCTCCGCGGTTACATACACACACCAATCTATGTACATATCAACCAATATGAGAAATCAAAATGAAAAAGAATTTAGAAAATCTAAATAATATATATATAATATATTATACTGGTTGGGTATACTAACGAAAATTTGCGAGGACAGGAAAATTGTTATCACAAAAAGAATAGATATGTTTAAAGTGACAAATGTACAATGCTTCTCATACTATGCTTGCTCAAGTACTGAGCTAACAGGCGAACAATACCTCTAACAGTATGCACTCTGTTGCTACAGTAATTAACATTAACATAACCAAGCAGTAGCAGCCGTATAAATATATATATATATATAAATACCAAAAGATCAAACAAGCACGAATAACCACTGGGACCTTTCTTAAACTTCTCCCATATATTTGTTTTAATTTATTGAAATTTCTTCAAATAATTAAAGTATTTGAACCAGAATATATTTACGATATCAATTTGTGAGAGGGTTAACGGGAATAGCGTTCACACTCCGTGGTATAGGCAAGTTGTGAGTTTGATCGATTTGGATTTAAGAGAGATCACTTACTTGTTGAATTGTGCTGCTCCCACGTTGAAAGGCCTTTCGTAGAGGGGGGATAGATGAAATACCAACAGCAAGCTCCAACAGCAAAATTTACGGCAAACAAAGGTTATGGTAAATTCAATGAACATATTTCACCAAAATCTACTATATTAAATATGATTTTTTTTTTCTGAGTAATCCACTATAATAGCTTACAGCTCACTTCCAAGTCGAGAACTTCTCCTTACTCACACCGTTAACAAGTATATATATGTTACAAAAAAGAACTTTAACTTGGTATTAAAATAATATAAATAACAACGACTTTGCGTTGTTAAAATCTTTTCTAACCATGACACTGGCTCCTCCACAGATAAACTTGCTTGCTTCTAAAGTGTTGTTTGCAATTTTATCAATATTTTCTTCAGCTTTAATGGTGTAATTAAAAAAACGTGTACTGCCTATACGTGAGCCCCGCAAATAACTGAATGCTCCAATTATACCATGGCACTCTCACGGCTACATTACTTGTAGATAAAAGGGGAGTAACGATGCAGAACCAGACGTAAGGGTGTTCTAGAAACGCGAGAAAGAAAAGAGGGCAACAATAGAAATTAACTCCCATGTAGATGAAATTCTCGTAAATTATGCGGGCTTACCGAACTATTTATGGGTTGGCGTTTAACCAAAAAGATCCAATAATCCGGACAAGGAAGAAAATAGGTCCAATATACAAATCACAATATTTGCAAAAGTGCCCCAATCCAAAATAATAAAAATCACAGTAACTTCGCATGGGTTTGTCAGCTAGCTTTTTTCAATTATCTGCTTTTCCAGGCCAACAGTTATTTAATTTATAAAGGGTGATTTTTTTGAGGTTAGGATTTTCATGCATTAGTATTTGACAGATCACGTGGGATTTCAGACATGGTGTCAAAGAGAAAGATGCTCAGTATGCTTTGACATTTCATCATGAATAGACTTACTAACGAGCAACGCTTGCAAATCATTGAATTTTATTACCAAAATCAGTGTTTGGTTCGAAATGTGTTTCGCGCTTTACGTCCGATTTATAGTCTACATAATCGACCAAGTGAGCAAACAATTAATGCGATTGTGACCAAGTTTCGCACTCAGTTTACTTTATTGGACATTAAACCAACCACACGAATGCGTACAGTGCGTACAGAAGAGAATATTGCGTCTGTTTCTGAGAGTGTTGCTTAAGACCGTGAAATGTCGATTCGTCGCCGTTCGCAGCAATTGGGTTTGTGTTATTCGACCACATGGAAGATTTTACGCAAAGATCTTGGTGTAAAACCGTATAAAATACAGCTCGTGCAAGAACTGAAGCCGAACGATCTGCCACAACGTCGAATTTTCAGTGAATGGGCCCTAGAAAAGTTGGCAGAAAATCCGCTTTTTTATCGACAAATTTTGTTCAGCGATGAGGCTCATTTCTGGTTGAATGACTACGTAAATAAGCAAAATTGCCGCATTTGGAGTGAAGAGCAACCCAAAGCCGTTCAAGAACTGCCCATGCATCCCGAAAAATGCACTGTTTGGTGTGGTTTGTACGCTGGTGGAATCATTGGACCGTATTTTTTCAAAGATGCTGTTGGACGCAACGTTACGGTGAATGGCGATCGCTTTCGTTCGATGCTAACAAACTTTTTGTTGCCAAAAATGGAAGAACTGAACTTGGTTGACATGTGGTTTCAACAAGATGGCGCTACATGCCACACAGCTCGCGATTCTATGGCCATTTTGAGGGAAAACTTCGGAGAACAATTCATCTCAAGAAATGGACCGGTAAGTTGGCCACCAAGATCATGCGATTTGACGCCTTTAGAATATTTTTTGTGGGGCTACGTCAAGTCTAAAGTCTACAGAAATAAGCCAGCAACTATTCCAGCTTTGGAAGACAACATTTCCGAAGAAATTCGGGCTATTCCGGCCGAAATGCTCGAAAAAGTTGCCCAAAATTGGACTTTCCCAATGGACCACCTAAGACGCAGCCGCGGTCAACATTTAAATGAAATTATCTTCAAAAAGTAAATGTCATGGACCAATCTAACGTTTCAAATAAAGAACCGATGAGATTTTGCAAATTGTATGCGTTTTTAAAAAAAAAAAAGTTATCAAGCTCATAACAAATCACTCTTTATATTACAACCAATCACAATTTAAACTCTGAACACCAAAGAGATTTTTAGAGCAATCTTTTGAGGATGACACAACACTATGGTAGAAACAATTGCAAGGTTAGAAGAAAATGAATCACGTTTCCGCTTCTTGACCACCTTTTGTAACCTCGGGCAATTCACATGATAAATAGCTGAGTAACTAGTACCAAACCAAAATTCCAGAAGAAAAATGGCTCCCTTCTATATAATATCTACCCTCTATACTAAGCCACGCCTCCATACTCATGTTTCTAAAACAAAAAAGAAAACAACATTTTCCATCACAGTCTTCAAACTGAGGAAATTTTAACAGTCTATTATATAGAGAGGGACAAGCAACCAAGTTATCAACCATTTTACATTAAATCCACATTAGAATTTCTGTGTCTTCAAAAGACTGCAACTGATTGCATACTACAAAAAGCCAAATACCAAATGTCTAAAGAAAAATTGCCGATAGTGGGAATCGAACCCGGACGTCAAGCTTTGTATTTTGCAACACTTCCTAGAGGCTACGACCAGACTGGGGTATACGACGGCTCAATCAACTTTAGAAACGGTCACGCTATCCATTAATATTCGATCAATCTTACGAACATTAGTAGTATCACTACGATCTATAAATAGAATTTTGCAGAGGAATTTTAATGTCAAACTACAATTTTGACTATGTATGTAAAGTAACATTTGAACAGATATCATAATTAGCAGAGTTGTCCAAATCATCAAGTTAGGAGTGCCAAATATATTAAAACTATGGCATGTATCTACAGGTGCCCCTACATAGCCCCCCTCCAAAATCAGGCACAATAGCCTTAATTGGATATTATGGATGATTCCACCTGGAGATACAGTTTATTGTCTGATATCCTTAGCGTGGTATGTACCAACTAATTTGCCTTGGAGATCCTCCAGTTCGTAGTAACAGTTCCCAATTTTACTCCTGACTCTACTCTTAATGAAGGTGTCCGATCTGGTAAAATTCATGGACCTATTTTCCGAAACAGACAATTTTCTTAGCAGTTAATATGTAGATGCATTGGTCACCATGTGCTGCCCAAAGGTCATAAAATATGGAGAAGTTCCAATTGAGGTATGCACAGATGAGCGTAACGTACAAGCTATATGGCTCAATTTCTCATCCCAGTCTTTTTGATCGGGTTTAATGTATGCTTTAATGGCCGAAATTACAGACCTGTTAACCCTTTCGGAAGCATTAGCCTGGGGCGAATGAACTGCGGTATAAATATGCGATATTTTATAAAAATTTAGCAACTCATTGAATTTCTGTGCCTTAAATTGTGTGCCATTGTCCGATATTACATTTCCTGGAACCCCGAAAGTGTGGAACAAGTCTTCCTCCATATATTTTACTACAGCATCAGCTGTGAATTTCTTAACAGGTTTCAAGAAACAAAATTTTGAAAAATGATCCAACACAATAAAGATTCCTATATTCCCCGATCTGGACCACGGGTAGGGACCAATAAAATCCACATAAAGACGTTGGAAAAACCGGTGAGTAACACCAGTGTCACCCATAGGCGGTCTCATCACCACATTCGGGTGTTTCGCAGTTTTGCAAACTTCACAGAAATTAATATACTGCCTGACGCCATTAACTAGATTAGGCCAAAA